TTCTACTGTAGTAAAAAAATAAAATCACCACTAACATTATTTATAAAAGGGTTTTCTACAAATAAACTTTTGAAGTTGGTTTTTTTTTGTAACATTACTTTTAATTCACCAAAAATGCAGACTAAAATCACCAAACATATTTTCATGATCATTCTTTTTTCTTACTCTAATCACAAAACTACGATCATTATCGACAAACCGATCGAAATTTAGATGTCAACATCATTTAGATTGAAGGCTAACAACTACGTTTTGGAACAGATTCGTTACATTCTATAGAGGCAAAGACATGTATAGAGATTAAAGAGTATAAATAATAATATTACCCAATTATCTTCTCTTAGGCATATAATCTCAAAACACCTTATGAACAAATGGCTTTCGTTCACCTACTCATCATTTCTCTCCGTCATCCCTGATCCAACAACACAAGAGCTAATCAACAGAATCTGCAAACAAACAATCGCTTTCAAGTTCTGCAACCAAACCATCACATCTCAGCTAATCAGACGACGCACCTCGATCAAAACAATGTTAAACTTTTTATGTAAAAATATGGTCTCAACAATGTTAAATTCATTTAAAAAATGTCATAATAATAAATTTAGAAGATAAATCAAACAAATTTTATAAACTTCAAACAATAATATTATCATAATTTACTATATTTTATTATTAATATAGGCCTAAATATATAATTATTAATTTATATTATTATTAAGATCATATTTTTACATAAAACTTTTTTAAAAAGGATTATCTTATTCTCTTATCGAATTTTGTCAATGTTTACACTGGCCCGACTTAGGACCGGTAAAAAAAATTAATTTATAGTGATTATTAATTTATCGAGTATTAATTTATAGAGATTCTACTGTAGTAAAAAAATAAAATCACCACTAACATTATTTATAAAAGGGTTTTCTGCAAATAAACTTTTGAAGTTGGTTTTTTTATAACATTACTTTTAATTCTCCGAAAATGCAGACTAAAATCACCAAACATATTTTCATGATCATTCTTTTTCCTTACACTAATCACAAAACTACGATCATTATCGACAAACCGATCGAAATTTCGATGTCAACATCATTTAGATTGAAGGCTAACAACTACGTTTTGGAACAGATTCGTTACATTCTATAGAGGCAAAGACATGTATAGAGATTAAAGAGTATAAATAATAATATTACCCAATTATCTTCTCTTAGGCATATAATCTCAAAACACCTTATGAACAAATGGCTTTCGTTCACCTACTCATCATTTCTCTCCGTCATCCCTGATCCAACAACACAAGAGCTAATCAACAGAATCTGCAAACAAACAATCGCTTTCAAGTTCTGCAACCAAACCATCACATCTCAGCTAATCAGACGACGCACCTCGATCAAAACAATGTTAAAATTTTTATGTAAAAATATGGTCTCAACAATGTTAAATTCATTTAAAAAATGTCATAATAATAAATTTAGAAGATAAATCAAACAAATTTTATAAACTTCAAACAATAATATTATCATAATTTACTATATTTTATTATTAATATAGGCCTAAATATATAATTATTAATTTATATTATTATTGAGACCATATTTTTACATAAAACTTTTTTAAAAAGGATTATCTTATTATCTTATCGAATTTTGTCAATGTTTACACTGGCCCGACTTAGGACCGGTAAAAAAAATTAATTTATAGTGATTATTAATTTATCGAGTATTAATTTATAGAGATTCTACTGTAGTAAAAAAATAAAATCACCACTAACATTATTTATAAAAGGGTTTTCTGCAAATAAACTTTTGAAGTTGGTTTTTTTGTAACATTACTTTTAATTCTCCGAAAATGCAGACTAAAATCACCAAACATATTTTCATGATCATTCTTTTTCCTTACTCTAATCACAAAACTAAGATCATTATCGACAAACCGATCGAAATTTAGATGTCAACATCATTTAGATTGAAGGCTAACAACTACGTTTTGGAACAGATTCGTTACATTCTATAGAGGAAAAGACATGTATAGAGATTAAAGAGTATAAATAATAATATTACCCAATTATCTTCTCTTAGGCATATAATCTCAAAACACCTTATGAACAAATGGCTTTCGTTCACCTACTCATCATTTCTCTTCGTCATCCCTGATCCAACAACACAAGAGCTAATCAACAGAATCTGCAAACAAACAATCGTTTGTTCTGCAACCAAACCATCACATCTCAGCTAATCAGACGACGCACCTCGATCAAAACAATGTTAAACTTTTTATGTAAAAATATGGTCTCAACAATGTTAAATTCATTTAAAAAATGTCATAATAATAAATTTAGAAGATAAATCAAACAAATTTTATAAACTTGAAACAATAATATTATCATAATTTACTATATTTTATTATTAATATAGGCCTTAATATATAATTATTAATTTGTATTATTATTGAGACCATATTTTTACATAAAACTTTTTTAAAAAGGATTATCTTATTATCTTATCGAATTTTGTCAATGTTTACACTGGCCCGACTTAGGACCAGTAAAAATAATTAATTTATAGTGATTATTAATTTATCGAGTATTAATTTATAGAGATTCTACTGTAGTTAAAAAATAAAATCACCACTAACATTATTTATAAAAGGGTTTTCTGCAAATAAACTTTTGAAGTTGGTTTTTTTGTAACATTACTTTTAATTCTCCGAAAATGCAGACTAAAATCACCAAACATATTTTCATGATCATTCTTTTTCCTTACTCTAATCACAAAACTACGATCATTATCGACAAACCGATCGAAATTTAGATGTCAACATCATTTAGATTGAAGGCTAACAACTACGTTTTGGAACAGATTCATTACATTCTATAGAGGCAAAGACATGTATAGAGATTAAAGAGTATAAATAATAATATTACCCAATTATCTTCTCTTAGGCATATAATCTCAAAACACCTTATGAACAAATGGCTTCCGTTCACCTACTCATCATTTCTCTCCGTCATCTCTGATCCAACAACACAAGAGCTAATCAACAGAATCTGCAAACAAACAATCGCTTTCAAGTTCTGCAACCAAACCATCACATCTCAGCTAATCAGACGACGCACCTCGATCAAAACAATGTTAAACTTTTTATGTAAAAATATGGTCTCAACAATGTTAAATTCATTTAAAAAATGTCATAATAATAAATTTAGAAGATAAATCAAACAAATTTTATAAACTTCAAACAATAATATTATCATAATTTACTATATTTTATTATTAATATAGGCTTAAATATATAATTATTAATTTATATTTTTATTGAGACCATATTTTTACATAAAACTTTTTTAAAAAGGATTATCTTATTATCTTATCGAATTTTGTCAATGTTTACAGTGGCCCGACTTAGGACCGGTAAAAAAAATTAATTTATAGTGATTATTAATTTATCGAGTATTAATTTATAGAGATTCTACTGTAGTAAAAAAATAAAATCACCACTAACATTATTTATAAAAGGGTTTTCTGCAAATAAACTTTTGAAGTTGTTTTTTTTGTAACATTACTTTTAATTCTCCGAAAATGCAGACTAAAATCACCAAACATATTTTCATGATCATTCTTTTTCCTTACTCTAATCACAAAACTACGATCATTATCGACAAACCGATCGAAATTTAGATGTCAACATCATTTAGATTGAAGGCTAACAACTACGTTTTGGAACAGATTCGTTACATTCTATAGAGGCAAAGACATGTATAGAGATTAAAGAGTATAAATAATAATATTACCCAATTATCTTCTCTTAGGCATATAATCTCAAAACACCTTATGAACAAATGGCTTTCGTTCACCTACTCATCATTTCTCTCCGTCATCCCTGATCCAACAACACAAGAGCTAATCAACAGAATCTGCAAACAAATAATCGCTTTCAAGTTCTGCAACCAAACCATCACATCTCAGCTAATCAGACGACGCACCTCGATCAAAACAATGTTAAACTTTTTATGTAAAAATATGGTCTCAACAATGTTAAATTCATTTAAAAAATGTCATAATAATAAATTTAGAAGATAAATCAAACAAATTTTATAAACTTCAAACAATAATATTATCATAATTTACTATATTTTATTATTAATATAGGCCTAAATATATAATTATTAATTTATATTATTATTGAGACCATATTTTTACATAAAACTTTTTTAAAAAGGATTATCTTATTATCTTATCGAATTTTGTCAATGTTTACACTGGCCCGACTTAGGACCGGTAAAAAAAATTAATTTATAGTGATTATTAATTTATCGAGTATTAATTTATAGAGATTCTACTGTAGTAAAAAAATAAAATCACCACTAACATTATTTATAAAAGGGTTTTCTGCAAATAAACTTTTGAAGTTGGTTTTTTTGTAACATTACTTTTAATTCTCCGAAAATGCAGACTAAAATCACCAAACATATTTTCATGATCATTCTTTTTCTTTACTCTAATCACAAAACTACGATCATTATCGACAAACCGATCGAAATTTAGATGTCAACATCATTTAGATTGAAGGCTAACAACTACGTTTTGGAACAGATTCGTTACATTCTATAGAGGCAAAGACATGTATAGAGATTAAAGAGTATAAATAATAATATTACCCAATTATCTTCTCTTAGGCATATAATCTCAAAACACCTTATGAACAAATGGCTTTCGTTCACCTACTCATCATTTCTCTCCGTCATCCCTGATCCAACAACACAAGAGCTAATCAACAGAATCTGCAAACAAACAATCGCTTTCAAGTTCTGCAACCAAACCATCACATCTCAGCTAATCAGACGACGCACCTCGATCAAAACAATCTCGAAACTAACGGCAGCTAAAGCTTGAATCAACGCCATAGAAACACTGGATAACATCGAAGGCTCTCTTCTTCCGAAAGCAAGAGATCATCGGAGCAAAGCAGAGTTCTCCGCTTGTAGGAAAGCGTATATATTGATGGATGCTCATCTTGATAACGCGTTGAAGTATTTGTATCTCAGAGACTATCAATTCATGAGAGCGTATCAAGCTCTTGCGCTCGTGAACATTTCCATGTGTAGGACGAGTTTCTCTCACTCGACGCCGATGGTGTATGCGAATTGGAACATGAGGATCTTGACTGATATGGCGATTTATGCTAGCCGGATCCTCGCTCCTCCTCCTCCTCTAAGACCCAAGACGGAGAAGAAGACGCCGTGAAAGACATATCGTGTCGGAACTCCGAAGCTGGTTTTTTCTTATTCTTCTATCATTGAAATCAACTAGTATTTGTCAGATTTTTTCAGACGAATTTTTAAAGAATATACAACAGCAAAAAATAATAAACTATTTTTATCACATAAATTATTTTTTTCAAAATAAGTTACATTTTCTTTATGTTGTTTTTATGAGTAGATAAAGTTGTTATTTGTTGATAGTTCTAGCTCAATTGTTCAACTGTGACATTTTGGAAGGATCGTGTTTTCTCTTTCTTTTTGAAAAATCGTGTAATACTGTTTTGGGATGGCGAGAAAATAAAGGAAGAGCGTTTTAATTATTAAATATCAGAAAATAAAGAAACTTTCGGTAAGCTTTCGCAAATCTCTGCTTTGCTTTGTAGAAAAGGCTATATAATAAATCAAGTCGGGTTAATGGGTTACTCACTCTTGACTCTTGAGAGGATGCAATTAAAATTACTTTTTCCTTTTTTCAGTTGATAGAGGTTTTAGGAAAATTGCTCACAACAATTATGGTAACTTCTATATTTATAAATAATGTATATATAGAGCAGTAATTCATTAAGAGATTTTAGAATATCTTACCTTGTGAAAGCAAACCTATCCTCATGAGGAGCCGCCTCAGCCTCAGGCCATGGAGAAAGAAGGCACCCAAGATGGCCCAAAAACCGGCGGAATACTCTCACGAGATTCTGACTCTTACAAACTTTACTTCAAGGGTTTGGTAAGGGAGGAGACAAGAGGGCCTATTGCAGGATTTGGGGTTGCAATTTGCAAACAAGAAGATGACAATCTCTTGTTTCAGATGAAAGGATCACTTCATGACTCCGCCATTACAGTTTTGGAGGTTGAGCTTATGGCATTGAAGCGAGGACTAACCGAAGCCGTGAGCTTGGGGATCCCTCATATCTCAATATGCTGCGATCATGATCAGATTTTTGAACTGGTAAGTAAGTTTTTTTTTTTTTTACTTTGTTTAAGATTCACATGACTGACTTAGTGTTGCTACAAATCTCGTATTTAGGTCTTGGGAAGATCCGTGCCTGAGAAAGATAGCATTGCCTTGCTAATGGATGATGTGGAACGCATCAGACAACAACTGACATCTAGCACCCCTGTTCTGGTGACTGGAAATCAAACCAAGAATATTGCTTACAAGCTTGCAATGGAAACCCTAGTTTCTAAAATCAGCATATCTGTAACACCGCCTCTCCTCATATGAGATGACGTGTTAAACACTCAACTTTCCAACCAAGTTACTTACAACATTAACTCCAAATCAATACTCATTTCATAGATATAAATCCAAACAGTCTTGCAAATAACCAACTTAAACTCAAATAAATCATAACCAAGTCTTAAAACCAACTGAAAACCATTTGAAATAGAAAGCTAAGTGTCTTAAGGACCCTAAGGACCGAACTAGAGAACCAGCTCGCCACCATCACACGCCAATCACTCCTGCTGCTCCTGCTCACCTGCGCAAGGAGGAACGGGAAAGGAGGGGATGGGTAATTTAGATTACCCAGGAGAATGCATACATGTGGTCCACCACACATATCATTATCCAACCTGTCGCTAGCTAGAGCCAAACGAACAAGCGCAGTTTAATGATTCCTCTAACAATCAACAAACAAATATGCAATGAACAAAGCGAGCATACTGAACGCCTCTCGTTACAGTATCCCATGGATTAACCTCCATAAGTTTCGTATGTCTTACACCCTTGCTAGGGGACGCATCTCCGCAAGAGTCTAAGTTGCTGCACGACTGGCCCGTCGACCTGAGCACCACATGGCACTACGACATGCACAACCTCTGTCGCAGGCGTCAATCATGCCAGCAGTGCCTCTCACTGCTGGGTCCTAATGCAGTTTGTGCTTTCACACACTATATGCAATGCAATGCAATTCACAATTCTCACAAGCAATATTCAACATCAAGCAACAATCAACCGTATTAATCCATCCCTAGATCTATGTTCTGAAAGCAAATAACAACCTAGCAAACAGCACAAATCTACAAGTTACGACCTAGAGCGGAACTTGTAGGGGATTTAGAGGACTTGGAAGTCAGATCTAATCAGGAGAAGCTAGCTAACAATATCGGGAAGACATGAACACATCCTCACCTTTGCCTAATCGAATGAAAGCTAAAAAAAGGGATCTAGGGTTTAAGGGATCTAACGACGGAAAGCAAAGGACTCAGGAAAACGGCGGCTAGGAACGGCGGAACGACGGCGGCTCTCCTCAACAGCGGCGGTTGGCGGCGAAGACGAACGGTGGCGGCGGCTTGCTCGGTTAGGGTTCCTAGGTTCTATCTCTGTGTGCTTTGGGAGTTGTGATGGAAAATCTAACTCTCTACCTCTATTTATATAGGGAAGACTCTGGGAAAACTTTAATACCCTTTCCTTTTGGGCTTCTGACACATGGGCCTTTCCTTTTCCTATTGGGCCTAGATCTAGAGCGTTACAATATCTATGCCTCCCAGTTGCGGTATGGTCTGTGCCGATGACCAGAAGAAGAAGAAGCTGGCTTGCGGTATCTGTTTCGAGGAAGATTTCGAAGCGGAGCAGATGTTTTATGTTGCTTTATGCCGTCATCAATTCTGCGTCGAGTGCATGACACGACACGTAAATAGGAGTCTACTAGAAGGACGTTTGATGAGATGCCCTCGTCCCGATTGCTACTCTAAGTTGACTATTAAAAGCTGTGCCCATCTTTTGGAACCTAAAATAAGAGCCATCTGGGAACAAAGGATCAGAGTGGACTCGGAAGTAACTTGTCCATGGCGTGAATGTAAAAATTGCCAACACATGAATGAACTTAAAACGTATCGTGGCTACGTAACTTGCAGGTATTATCTCTGACTAATCACATTTCTCTAGCTATTATAATCCTTTGATTGATGGATTGATTTTTTTTTTTTTATGGTCGATGGGTTTAGCTGTGGGTATTCGTTTTGCAACAAATGTGGACATGAATGGAAGCACCCTGGTTGCCGTCATCTCCAAGATTTCCAAGCTAGGAGTGCAAAAGCATGTTGTTTTACTCTTTTCTTAGTTATGGGACTTATAGTAGGCTTTTGCGCTATAATAGTTTGGTTGTGAGAGGAATACAAAAAATATTAGGGGTTGGCTCAATTAGGTTTCGAGGGTTATTTAATTCAATAAATATTGTACCAAAAAATATTAGGGGTTGGCAGTGACAATCTCAGAAAATATTTTTATATAGGTCATAAATTAAATTTAATATAATTATTATAAAATAAAATAAAAAAAACTCTAATATCAATACATTGATAGCCAATTAAGTTTGAATTTGGGAGGTTTTCAACCATAGGAAACTGTACTACTATTATTTTATTATTTAAGTTTAAAATTTTAATATTTAATATATAGAGTTGGTCAGGCCACCTCTCTTCTTTCTACGTGGGTCCTCCTCTGGGTGTTGACTCAATTAGGTTTATGGAAAACTATACTCTAAAACACTTTTTGTTTTATTTCGATTTAATAATCATACTCATCATGATGTTTCTATAGTTCTTTTTTTTCTTGAAGGTTTATGTGTTCAAATATTTAGTTTTTTTATTAAAAACTTATTGATGTTGTGTACCACTGTATATATAATCTATGATTCATGTTGATTCGCATTTAATTTAGTTAGGAAGCTGTAATGATCATGCAAAACTATTTTTTTCTTCTCCATCATGTCTTCCAAGAGTTTTATGTTATATTTTTATTCAGTTTTCATTGTTTTAATTGTCAAATCAAATTGTTGTAGATTTTTTTAAATTGATAATTGATAATGGTTACTTTTTTTTATACATGTATTGTTAATTGTTTTCATTTTTTTAAATTGATAATTGTTAATTGTTTTCATTGTTTTAAATTAATATACTAGTATATAACTCGCGCATAGTATTAATATTTTGTTTTAATTGTTTTTAGCTACTATCTTTAAAATTATTAAAAATATAATATATTTATAGAAATTTTCATTTATATAAGAGAATTTAATATATAATGTGTACTTTATCCTATTTTTATTTATAAATTTTAAAAAACTATTTGGTAAAATAATAACAATGACACATATCGAATTATCCAACTTTGATGTACATATACATTTGATTTAGAGAAATATAATCTTGCTAAGATTTTTGTATTATTTTCTGTTTTCCATAGTATTTCTATAGTTCTTTTTCTTGAAGGTTTATGTGTTCAAATATTTAGTTTTTTTTTATTGAGAGTCTTATTGATGTTGTGTATCACTGCATATATAATCCATGATTTATGTTGATTCGCATTTAATTTTGTTAGAAAGCTGTAATGATCATTCAAAACCATTTTGATCATTCAAAATCATTTTTTCCTTCTTCATCATGTCTTCCAATAGTTTTTATGTTATATTTTAATTCAGTTTTCATTGTTTTAATTGTAAAATCGAGTTGTTGTAGATTTTTTTATGTTGATAATTGATAATGATTATTTTTTTATACATGTATTGTGTGAAACCCAATAAGAGCAAAAAAAAAAAAAATCGCTAATCCTTATCCTAATCCTAACTTAAATCGGATCTGAGGTTGTAGGTGTATATAATTCGAGTTGGGCAAGCCATTATTCACAGCCACCATCTGATTTCAAGCAATCAAAGCAGAATTTAGAAAAAAAAAAGAGAATTATCAAGAGATCAAGCAAAAGTTGTTGTTTGGAGTTGTTGAGATTGTGGTGTTGGATTGGATCAGTAACAACCTAAGGAGGAAGTGATTTCAGGGCTGGGAATAAGTTTCTAAGAACCCAGGAATTGAACACCGTCGCCGGAATAACCAGAACCACCGGAGGAGAGAGAAAGAGGAGAGGAGGAGGAAGAAGAAGAAGAGGAAAAGTCTGGTCCGAGTGGGTGTTTTGCGGGGCGATTTGCCGTCGACTCAGAGAGACCCAGAAGACGATCTACATACCGTTGGAAAGATCTCTCTGTCATCTATTCAGATCTTCTTTCCGTTACCGATTAGGAGGTATATTTGATCCGAAAATCCAATCGCAAGTTGACGCAAATTTACCGTCAGTTTTCCAGATATTTAGTTCCAGTTTAAGTAGTGGTTTTGGGTTGCAATTTCAGATCGTATCTGAGCTAGGGAGGCAGGATTGTTTATTGGTTTCTGGTTGAGGACGTTGCAGGGAAGCCATAGGAACTGACGTCACCACCTGAAAAGGTAGACCCTAGCCACCACGCTGTTAGCTTGTTGCCCAAGAAATCATGGATCTGTCAAAAATCTGGGCAGACCAGAAAACCTAAATCTGTTTCTAATAGACGTTTCTTGTTCTGCAAGTTACAGTTTTAGATTGTCTACATCAGCTTCAATCAGTGTCTTTCCAGAAGTCAGATATCAGTTTAAGTCAGGTGAGGGTTGTGATATGTGAAAACACAATTCACATTACTTCTATTATTTACATGAGTCATTATGCATAAGCTTAGACCTGATTGTTAGAATATGTATGTGATAGGATGATATAAGATAGATTATGTGATATGATATGAGATATGTTATGAGTTATGTTATGATATGCTATGTTATATGTATGGCTGACGAGCCTGGAATGGGAGTGTCTGAGCACGAGGCCAGCCTCCAATGTATGGGGTTTTAAGGCTATCACAAGGATAGTGCCATCTACGGGACGTATAAACCTCCAGTGTATGGAAATCTTTCTTCATTCGCAAGACTCTTGATATGTGTTATAGCTTGATTAGTAAATCCAGCTATATGTTTCCTAGTGTCTTGGATTATGTGTTTTGATGAATGTCAATATTTGTAGAAATGTTAGTTATGTTTCGGTGGGCAGAGATGATCTCCCTCACTGAGTAATGCATTGCTCACCCCTTTCTTTTCCTTTTTTTTAGGTTAGGATGAAAATCTTGAGTAGCTGCTCAAGTCTGTTTTGCTTCTTGGTGTTATTTCGGGAACCGGGTTTTATTTCATTTTATTCAAAAGGACAGTATTTTTCTAAGTATTAGTTCGTGGGTTTTTATGAGATTTTAGTATGAGGATTTTATGACTTTGATGAAATTTTTATAAGGAGTTATTTTAATAAGAATGGTTTCCGAAAATGAGGTTTAAAAGCATGTTTAAGAAATGAAAGGTGAATCCGGATTTGAAATAAGGTAACAGGGTGTTACAATTTGGTATCAGAGCCAGGTTAAAGTTAAACCGGTTCTGATCCGGGAAGCTGAGTTTTCAAAGAAAGTTCTACTTATAAAAGAAAAACGGTTTTTTATGGGAAGGGAAGTTTTAAAAAAAACTAAAAAGCACCAGAAGAAGCAGGACTTGAGCATTAGTTGTATTTATGTTAAAGTGCAGGATTTTTGAGTTAGTTCTAATGTTGTTGTTATCTGGACAGAATGTCACCAAAGAGAGTAGGACGTCCGGCAAATGCGAGGGTGAACCTAGTTGCTGGTGCCCCAGCTGATGCTGCTGCAGCTGCCCAGCAAGCAGCGAATGCAGTGACCCGTGAGGAGTTTCAAGAGCTTAGAGGCATGTTGCATGAGCTTTTACAGCGTCAGGCACATCCACCACCGCAGCAAGCTGCTGCACAGCAGCCATTTGTTCCACCACCACCTCCAGCAGGGATGCCACCACCAGGAGCTGGACTTTCGTATCATCACACAGTGAAGTTCATGAGAGACTTGGGTATGGAGACTTTCACTGGTGATAATAATCCAGTCTTGGCAGATGATTGGATGAAGTTATTGGAGAGGAATTTTGATTCCACCAGATGTCCAGTGGAGTATAAGAGGGATATTGCAGCTCAGTACTTGCGGGGAGAGGCACATGTATGGTGGAAGAATGTGAAGCGAAACATCCCTGTTGGATATCAGATTACTTGGGAGAATTTTATGGAGGAGTTCCACAAGAAGTATTTTCCACAAGAAGCAATGAATGGTATGGATCATATGTACTTGGAGCTTCGTCAGGGAGCCATGACAGTCAGAGAGTATGAGAAGGAGTTCAATCGCCTTAGGAGGTTTGCGGCGAGAGAGGCAGGGGAGCAGAAAGCGATTGGCAGATTCTTGAGAGGATTGAGGGCTGATATCCGTAATCGCTGCTCAGTCCGCGATTATGCCACTATGACCGAGTTGGTTGAGAAGGCAGACATGATGGAGCTTGGACTTGAGGAGGAAGCCAAGCTTCATAAGGGCGTTCATGCAAATGCATCAAGGGGAGGAGAGTCTCAGAAGCACACTTGGGATACACGTGACACCAGAGTTGGTCAGATTCGTTTTCAGGAGTGTGGCACATGTGGAAAGAGGTATGGAGGGGTCTGTATGGCTTATTCAGGCAAGTGTTACAAGTGTGGTCAGCCAGGACATAACCAACAGAACTGTCAAGGAGGAAACAACACTTGTAGGAGATGTGGACAGCCTGGTCACTTTGCTCGGAATTGCAGAGCATTGCAGCCAAGAGTGCAGCAAGGGAACCAGAACAGGGCGGTCATGCCACCACCTCCTAAGAGGCAAGCTGTAGCACCTCGAGTGTTTGCTGTACCTGACCAGGAGGGTGCAGAGCCGATCTTTGGATCTGTTCTTGTTGGAGGAGTTCCCGTGCATACTTTGTTTGACACGGGAGCCACACATAGTTTTGTGAGCCCTGAGTTGGCAAGGTGCTGGGATTCCAGGATTGATTATGAGGAAAGGCAAAGGAGAATCAACACTGCTGGTACAGAAGTGGTTGGATCTTCAAGAACCTATCGAGATGTTCCAGTATTGGTGGAAAAACTAGAGTTGCTCGGGGATTTCATTGAGTTGGAGCTGAAATGCTATGAAGTCATTTTGGGAATGGATTGACTGA